CGTAGATTAGTGCTTGCCTGGGGGTGAGGGGACATGGGGGGTGACTGCAGATGGGCACAGGGTTTCTTCTGGGGGTGATAAAAAAAATTCCTGAAATTGATTGTGGTGACAGTTACACAGCTTTGTGAACACACAAATCGTACACTTTAAAAGCGTGAATTTACAGCGTGTGAATTATATCTCAATTTGAAAAAACTAAGAGCACCTGTAGGTTTGGTGGCAGTGTGAGGGAAGCACTCATTAAGTGGTCCCAGTGATTGTCACCTGAGATCCAAACATGCCTCCTGCTGTCTCTGACTCCTTTCTCCTTTACAGTTTTTCCACTGATTATGTCCAGCAGGTGCTCGGTATACTTTGTTACTTAACCAAGTCTTAGGCCTCCTCAGAAGCCGTTCCTCAGAGTCAGATGTTCTGCTTTTCCTGTTCAGATATTGGAGACTAGTGAGCAGGTGGAAACCAAATTACTTAAATACTCAGCAAAGTAGATGGAGAAGACATTCACCCAGATTCTCTTTGGGAAATCACTGCCCGGATGTGTCTCCTGAGTACAGCACGTTACCTAGAGAACTGGGATGGACCATTGGACTCACCAGGAAGGAAAAGGCAGCCTAATGTCCAGGCTCAGAGTTTTCCAGCACAGGAATAAACGCAGCTCTGGGTTTATCTTTCTATCCTTGAGCCAAGAGCAAAGCAGGTTCTCAGTCAACAGTTAGTGAACAGACATGATCTCGTATAGTGTGTATGAGATCAGTCTGTGTCTCTGTTTCTGATTTTGTTCTGTTTCACGAGCACAGGCAGGCAGAACACATTACATGTGTTCTTTTATTATTTAATTCTCTAAAAACAATGCAAAGCCACTGAAATGACTAGTCCCACCTTCCAAGGGAAGCTCACCCCTCTGAAGACCTAGGAATGTGTGTGGAGTGCCTGCAACCTCTGCCACATGCTGGCTGGACCACTGGACATCCCTCAAATGAAATGGGGTTGGGATAAACAACATCATGCATGTGAAGTGCCTGGCACCCAGGAGGCACCCACAGACAGGAGCCATGATGTTTGCAGTGGAGGACAGGACAACATGGTGGCTATCAGACCCAGTGTCAGGAAAACCTAGGTTTGATTTCTGCACCTACCATGTGACCTTGTGCATGTTTCTTAACATCTTTGAGCCTCAGTTCTCCTCATTTGTAAAATGGGTATTGTAGAACCTAGTTCCGTGGCCCATTTTCATGTTGAAATGAGATAACACGTGTACAGCACCCAGCACCCTATGTGGTGTGTCCTAAGTGCTCAGCAAATGGTTACTCATTTCCTGCCTTCACAGAAGACCAGCCCTCGACCTTCACTGCAACATCTCAACAACGCCCCTCATCTGTACACCCCGTGTGTTGGGGAGGAACGCTTCAGAGATGTGTGAACGCTGGACAGTGGGGACAGTGAGTGGAGAAAGCTGCATTCCCGTCGGGGCCTGAGTTCTGCAGAAGGGAAGTACCCTCTGTGATTGGGTGTGTGCCTTTTGCAGCTGACTCGGTGTAAGAAGATGGGAGGAGGAACTGGTATGCAGCTGAAAGGATGGGCTTTGCAGGTGTCAAGGTTCAGCTGCTCTAGCCTTGAGAAAGGCACTGGGTTCCCCTGTGGCTCTGTTTCAGATCTGGAAGATGAGTTAGTAACAGCCAGAGAAGGTTGTTGTGAGGAATAACTGACCCCTGAAATATTTAGAGTGTGTGTTTAGGAAGGGGTCAGCTCCTCGGTCCTCGTGTGGACTATGGTTGTCCCCGGGCTGTGTACCAGAGGCCTAGGGTCCCGTGTGGGACTCCTTGGGTGGAAGATGATTCTGGCCTGTCTGTCCAATTAGGGACAAGGTCGTGGATGTGGCACTTTGTGAAGCTGAGTAGAGTGTCAGGAGCTTGGAGTTGGCCCCTTTGGGGATTGTGCCTCTTGGGGAATGGGTGTTCCTGCCATCCTGGGACCCTTCTGACCAGTTTGAGAAACAAGGAACCCACTCTGCTCCCTGAGTTGGGGAGATAAAGGTGAGTGTGTGGAAATCAAGGTAGCTAGCGAGAGAGAATAGCTCAGTGGTAGTGCCGGCCTAGCATTCAGGAGGCTCTGGGCTCAATCCCTAAGAGGAAAGCAGGTGAAAAATAAACTTTTTACTTGGGTGAAAAAAACTCAGTAAAAATAAAATTCAGTTCCTTTTCCTTAATTATAAATTATGATGCGTGGATAATACATAATATAAAAGAAATGTTAGAGAAAATCACCACCTGGGGACAGCCACTGTTAACATTTAGTACGTTTCTTGTAAATATATACTTTTGTGTATATATATTTATGTTTTTGTATATATATATATATATATATACACATAATAGATATCTTTTGTGTGTGTGTATATATATATATTTATTGAAGTATAGCCAGTTTACAACGTTGTGTCAATTTCTGGTGTTCAGCACAATGCTTTAGTCATACATGAACATACATATATTTGTTTTCATATTCTTTTTTACCGTAAGTTACTACAAGATACTGAATACAGTTCTCTGTGCTGTACAGTATAAACTTGTTGTCCATCTATTTTGTATATATTAGTCAACATCTGTAGGTCTTGAACTCCCAATTTATTCCTTCCCATTCCCTTCCCCACCCCCGAGAACCATGAGTTTTCCTATGTCTGTGAGTCTGTTTCCGTTTTGTAAATAAGTTCTTTTTTTTCTTTTTGGTTCCACATATGAGTGATATCATATGGTATTTTTCTGTTTCTTTCTTACTTCACTTAAATGACATTCTCCAAGTCCATCCATGTTGCTGCAAATGGCATCATTTTATTCTTTTTTATGGCTGAGTAATATTCCATTATACAAATATACTACAACTTCTTTATCCAGTCATCTATTGATGGACACTTAAGCTGTTTCCATGTCTTGGCTACTGTAAATAGTGCTGCTGTGATCATTGGGTGCAGATGTCTTTTTGAATTAAGGTTCCCTCTGGATATATGCCCAGGAGTGGGATTGCTGGATCATATGGTAAGTCTGTTTTAAGTCTTTTGAGGAATGTCCATACTGTTTTCCATAACGGCTGCACCAAACTATATTCAGACCATTTTCCCCACAGCATGTATCGTTTGTGGACTTTTGAATGATGGCTATTCTGACAGGAAGGAAAGAAGCGGGTGGGGGGAGGGAGGAAGGAAGGAAGGAATTTGATTTCTCCTTCCAGCTGAGAGGGAATGATAGAGATCAGATGTAACTTGCCCAGCTGAAACAACTAGTTTCCAGGCTACAACACAGGTTGAGGAACTAAGAACCCAGCTGACTCCCTGAGTTGGGGAGATAAAGGTAAGTGTGGGGAAACTAAGGTAGCTAGAGAGAGGCGATAGCTCAGTGGTAGAGTGTAGGCCTAGCATCCAGGAGGTCCTGCCTGGGTTCGATAACTGGCAGGAGAGGTGGGAGAGGCACGCTCTGTCTTCCTGCCGTCTTTCCGTATTACATGGCCTCCTCATGCTTTTCTGTGTCCTTTTCTGTGTCTCCTTCCCACCGCCTCTGTCGTACTTGAGGCCCCCTTCCTGACCCTGTAGCTGCAGTGTTCTCTCATGGGAATACTGTAGTTTCCTTCTGTCCAACTAGCCTGCCTCCCCCAGCGCAGCCTCTCCAGGCTCCCATCAGAGGCACCAAATCAAAGCACAGACCTGAGCGTGTCACCCCTACTGCTGGAAACCCTTCTCTGGCTCACCTCACCTCTTCCCTTGTCTCCAGCCACACCTTCCACACACGAAACTCCTGACGCCCTCCCCTAAATACATCAGGTTTCTTCACGGACCCGTGCCTTTAGCCACGTTGCTCCCTGTTCTGAGATCCCCTGCCTTCTCTGTTTTCCGGGAAAACGCTTGTTAATGATTCTACGATCTGACTCATACAGCACCTCCCACTCAGCCCGGAGACACTTGCCTCTGCGGCGTCGCTTGTGCTGTGTTGCTACCTGGACTTGTTTTTGTGTGCATCTTGCCTATCGACCCAGGCCTAGTTCACCACCGTTCCCGGAAATAATGTCAGACACAGAGAACCTTTTGGGTGCGTGAATGGAGGGCTAAGCAAGTGCTGAATGAAAGAGATGGAACACTGCACCTTTTAGTCTTCAGCAAGACATTCACTTGCATTCTCTCAGATTCTAGAGTCTTTCAGATTCCACTGTTCCTCGTTCTATTGTAGACAAGGGAAACGGAGGCCCAAAGAAGAGAAACCACCATCACCCCCCTAGCGCCTCCCAGTCAGCAGCAGAACTGGGGAAGGCCTGCCCCGAGACTCTCGATTCATCGTCATAACAGGCCATCTCTCTGCCTCAGCCTTGGCCCTCGAGCTTGCAGCCACAGGAGCAGCCTGCTTCTGCTGGTCCTTAGCTCCTCTCTTCTCTCTCTCCAGGCTGGTCCGGGAGTTCGTGGCCCAGAACACCACCATGCAAATCAAACATGTGATCCAGACCCTGTCTCAGGAGTTTGCCCTGTCTCAGCACCCCCACAGCAGGAAAGGGGGCCTCATCGGCCTGGCCGCCTGCTCCATCGCACTGGGCAAGGTGGGCCTTTCTCCTGGAGGAACAGACACACCAGCCATGGCCTTGACTCTGACCCAGCAGGGTTTTGCAGACCTGTCATTTTTCGCCATCCTCTCCCCACCTCAGGCCAGCAAGGCTGGCTCTCTGGCCTTGCCGCCTGGTTCTCGGGCACGGCCCCTATGCTGGGAGGCTGACTTGCGGAGGGTCTTTTAGCCCTGCCCTCACACAGAGGCTTGAGCATCTCCGTGGGAGCTGGGGGCTGGGGCCTGGGGCCTGGGGCCTGGGTTCTGATCCAGTCTGAGCTGCTTCTCCTCCTGTTCCACTGCAGGACTCGGGGCTCTACCTGAAAGAGCTGATCGAGCCGGTGCTGACCTGCTTCAATGACGCTGACAGCAGGCTGCGCTACTACGCCTGCGAGGCCCTCTACAACATCGTGAAGGTGGCCCGCGGCGCCGTGCTGCCCCACTTCAACGTGCTCTTTGACGGGCTGAGCAAGGTGACCGCTCCTCACTCTAGCTGGGCTGAGCTCGTCCCACCCACCTTTTTCCCAGAGGCAAGCGGAGCAGATCAGCACCTGCTGCCAGGGAGACTTGTTGTCTGTTGAATCTAATGATACATGTTTTAAATGGGCTTGTATTTGTTTGTTTCCCCCCCATATCTCTGTTAGCTTATTTTTTATTGCATTTCATTTTATCAAGGACTGGAGTCAAAAACCAATCATTTGAAAAGCACTATGGATGCTGCACACCAGAAACTGACACATTGTAACTGACTATACTTCAAGGAAAAAGTTTTTTAAAAGAAAAAGAAAAGCACTATTGGGGGAGGGTACAGCTCAGTGGTAGAGTGCGTGCTTAGCATGCATGAGGTTCTGGGTTCAATCCCCAGTACTGCCATTATAAATGAATAAAGCTAATTACCTCTCCCCACAAAAACAAAAAAGAAAAAGAAAACAAAAGCACTAACTTCCCTTATCGAAGGTGAAGATGGTGAATGCGTAGTGCAGACTGCATTTCCCCTGTGAGGAGAGCACAGGCTCTAGGAAAAGCTCTATTAGAAAGGCTTCGGGGTCCCTAACAGCCTCAGCTTCACCCTCAGCTTCTTGGGGTTCCCTCCCTGAAGCTCTACTGCCCTGCTGACGCCCCAGTCTTTTCTAGAGGATCCGCCTCACAGCTGCTCCGTCCTCTCCGGGAGTGGAGAGGGGACCCAGCCTTGTTAGGTTGAAAACCCCTGAGGGAGCCCACCGGGAAGCAGCCACCTGACCGGTGGCAGCGGGTCCCGTCCAGAGGTACCTGACCAGGTCAGGGGTCCACTGCATCTTGGCGCCTTTGCCAGGTTCCGTTTTGCCTCCCTGCCTCCCGTACTTTCTTCCCGGTGCACCGAAAGAGGTGCCCTGCGACGTTCCAGCCACACCAAGGCCTTGGCGGTGGGATTTCAGTGGATTCCTTGTCTTACATACTGACTGTGACCCTCTCTCCACCTCTGTGCCTATCGTAGTTGGCTGCTGACCCAGACCCCAATGTGAAAAGCGGATCTGAGCTCCTAGACCGCCTCTTAAAGGTATTTGTACTTGGTCTCCGCCTTTATTTTTAGAATCTCTTTCCTTCATCTTATAAATTCTATCACTGGCGTGCTCTGCCTAACTTAAATGTTTTTCATTTACATACAGTAAGTGAAACAGTGTATGTTCTGTGCCAAGCGTATAGAGTTATGTCACCAGAAGGATCAAAATGCAGGACTGTTCTATCACCCCCAAACTCCCGTCGTGCTAGCCCCACCCTGCAGCCAGCAGGGGGAATGAAACGGGCCATTCGTGCTAAGCTCACCAGAGCGTTCAATCCAGACCACAGAGATGTAGGTAGGGTCTTGCCTTTTGATTTGTTCTTTTGACCTTGTTTCCTGCTTTTAATCGACCCTTCTTGCTTGTCCTTCAGGCTGTGAGAGCATGGATGCTCTGGGGACCTCTCCTGCCTGGCTCAGGCTCTACCATCTTCCCCCACAGCCCCTGGCCCCAAGCAGCTCATGTGCCTTTGACCCACAGGATGTCGAGACAGAAAGCAACGGTTCAACCCACTGAGCTTCATCCCTTTGTTGTAGGAGAGGATTTATTCCAACAGGCAGTATGCCCGGCAGTTCATCATCTCCTGGGTAAGATCCGGTCCCTTGACACTCCTCCTTTGGCTATAATTAGCCTCTAGCTGAATACAGTCTGCTCTTTGGCACCCCCTGGGTGCCTCCTGTGACCACAGAGACACCTCTTTATTATCCCTCTAGGACCCAGTGACACCAGATAAACCAAAAACATAACTTAGTCGGCTTTGACCCCAAAGCCCATCACGTTTGCCCCTGAAAAGGATACAGTTCTTTCCTTGTCCTCAGAATCACCCAGATGCCTCCTTCAAATAAACAGGAACAACAGCCGCTTGCACCCCCTCCCCTGTGGGCCCCTCAGTTCCCTGAAAAGCTGCCTCAGCAGGGCCCCTTCTCACTGGCCAGTCCCAGAGGATGGGTGAGGAGACGCAAGTTCTTAGGCTGGTGACTTGCCCTGCTGGTTTCTTTCCCAGCCCAAATCCTGGTTCTGGAGTCCGTGCCAGACATTAACCTGCTGGATTATTTGCCAGAGATCCTGGATGGACTCTTCCAGATCCTGGGTGATGACGGCAAAGAGATTTGGAAACTGAGTGACAGGGAAGAGGCAGGCTGCCAAAGCCCTCAGTGCATATACATATCCGACATCCAACAGACAGGCAGCGCTGGGAAAACAAGAAATTGCTCTCTTCCTCCAGATCCGTGTGCTTCCCGCTTTGAGGAGCTAAGAGCTCATCCACCCCAGCCTCTGAGGAGCACTCATCTGACAAGTGTATCCCATCAAGTGTGGTCCTCCTCTGGGTGGGTGACCCAGAGCAGAAGTGGCACTGGTGGAGGCTCCTCCAGCCCTGGCTGGCGTGTGCTGTCTCCCTTCTTCTCTGCTCATTGGTAGGTGTCAGGTGGTCCTTGGAGAATTCTTGAAAGAAATTAAGAAGAACCCCTCCAGTGTTAAGTTTGCTGAGATGGCCAGCCTCCTGGTGATCCACTGCCAGACCACGGGTGAGTGTGTCAAGGCCCCAAGGCCACCCCCCTCCTCAGAAGCACCTTCTGTCTCACCATCTGGGAGAGAGGCCTCGTTGGAGTGTGAATCAGAGTGACAAGGGATCTTGGAGTGGTGGGTCCTTATGGGAGAGAATCTGGTTCTCTAACAAAAGTGTAACTACCCAAAATCAGGAATTAAAAAATGGGAACCTTATTATATATCCTAATTTACTATTTATCAACCTATAGTAATATTAACAATGTTCTGCTTGTGGCATAACTTCTTATTGTATAAATAATATATGATGCTCAGGTGTGTAATTTAGAAAGAAAACGTGTTTCCCTGCACAATGAACACCACAAAACATGGTTGAAAAACTAGAGAATACTTACATAAATGGAAAGATATCCCAATTTCCAGTCAAGATGGCGGAGCGGCAGGACCACAAGCTCGCCTCTCCTCACAACTACAACAGAACCATAACTGACTGCTAAACAACCATCAAAAAATAAAAGACTGGAACCTAGCAAAAAAGGTCTTCTTCAACTGGAAACATAAAGAGGGAACCACAGCAGGATGGTAAGAGGAGCATGTTCCCAATATAATCAGGCCCCATACCCCCCAGGGTGGGCAACCCACAAGCTGAAGAATGATTAAGTCACGGAGGCCCTCCCACAGAAGTGAGAGTTCTGAGCCCCACGTCAGGCTCCGCAGCCCCGGTTTCCGGCATTGGGAGGAGGAGGAGACCCCAGGACACCTGGTTTTGAAGGCCTGTGGGGCTCCAGGGGCCCCACAGGACTGGGGGAGACAGAGACTTCACTCGCTTGGGAAGCATACATAGAATCTGACGTGCACCAGGTCCAGGGGCAGAGGCAGTGATTTCATAGGAATGTGGAAATGTACAACCAAGAATACTCTATCCAGCAAGGCTCTCAGATTTGATGGAGAAATCAAAAGCTTCACAGATAAACAAAAGCTAAAAGAATTCAGCACCACCAAACATTAAAGGAACTTCTCTAGTCATCAAACCATAAGACAAAAAAGAACAAAAAGAAGAAAGAGAAAAAATAAAGACCTACAAAAGATTGCTTTGGCAGTCTGGGGTCTTTTATGGTTCCATATAAATTTTGGAATTGTTTGTTCTACTTCTGTGAAAAATGTCATAAGTATTTTGACAGAGGTTGCACTGGATCTGTAGATTGCTTTGGGTAATGTGGCCATTTTGCTAATGTCAATTCTTCCAATCCAAGAGAACAAGACTTCTTTCCATTTCTTTGTATCATCTTCAATTTCTTTCATCAATGTTTTACAGTTTTCAGAGTATAGGTAACTTCCTCAGTTAAGTTTTTTTCTAGGTATTTTGTTGTTTTTGATGCAGTGGAAATGTTTATGCCAGTTACAAAATTCTGGTTTTTGAAGTGGAAAAAAAAAAGTGAATGAAGGGCTGCAAATGGCAAGATATTCCTCCTCCTTATGGGTGAGTTGTATTCCATTACATATATGTTCTGCAACTTCTTTATCCATGGATGCTTCCATATCTTGGCAATTATAAATAATGTTGCTGTTAATAGCAGGGTGTATGTATCTTTTTGAATTAATGTTTTTGTTTTTCTCAGATATATGCCCAAGAGTGGAACTGCTGGGCCATATGGTGGTTCTAGTTTTAGTTTTTTGAGAAGCCTTCATATTATTTTCCATGGTGATTGCACCAATTTACATTCCCACCAACAGTGTTCAGGGGTTCCCTTTTCTCCACATCCTTGCCAGCATTCATTATTTGTGTTCTTTTTGATGACTGCCATTTTGACAGGTGAGAGATGTTATCTCATTGTGATTTTGATTTGCATTTCCCTGATATTAGTGATGTTGAGCAACTTTTCATGTTCCTGTTAGCCATCTGCATTTCCTCTTTTGGAAAAAATGTCTGTTCAGTTAAAAAGCAACCAACCAACCAATCCACCCATTTAATATATGGGCAGAAGAACTGAAGTATAGTTGATTTAAAACTAATACAGTTGTATTAGTTTCTGGTGTACAGAGGGGATGGACTTGGAGGGCATTAGGCTAAGTGACGTAAGTCAGACAGAGAAAGACAAATACTGTGAAATACCACTTACATGTGGAGTCTGAAAAAAAAAAAAGCAGCAACTAGTGAATATAACAGAAAAGAAACAGACTCCCGGATGTAGAGAAGGAACCAGTGGTTACCAGGGGGGAGAGGGAAGGAGGTGGGGCGAGATGGAGGTGGGGATTAAGAGGTACAAACCATCAGATATAAAGTAAGCTACAAGGATTTATTGTACAACATGGGGAATATAGCCAATATTTTATAATAACTGTAAGTGGAGTGTAGCCTTTAAAAATTGTGACTTACTATGTTGTATACCTGTAACATGTACTATTGTACTTCAACTATACTTGAATTTTAAAAATATGGTATTATAAAATATATAAATAAATTTTTAAAATAAAAGATATCCCACATTTATGGGTTAGATGGCTTAATATTAAGATGATGGCAATATTCCCAAATAGAGCTACATATTTAATTCAATCTGCATCAAAATAACAGTTGCATTTTTCTCAGAAGTTTTTCAGATCCTAAAATTCACGTGGAAATGCAAAGGACCCAGAATACCCAAAACTACCTTTCAAAAGAAGAACAACATTGGAAGAGTCACACCTTACTACAAAGCTCTAGTAAAAATGATAAGGTACCAAGACAGTTCCCTGGGGAAAATGAGTCTTTTCAACAAGCAGTGCTGGAACTGCTGGAACAGCTGGACAGCTGCTGCAGCAGCAGAGGGAAGCTGGACCCCTTCCTCACAGCCTTCACCAAACAGTAACTCCAGATAGATCACAGGGTTAAACAAATGTCCTTATTTAAAACTAGAGTTCTTAGAATAATATTTAGGAGTAAATCTTTACAACCTTTGGTTGAGCAGTTTAAAATACGACATCAAAAGCTTATGGGACAAAAGAAAGAGTCATCAAAATTACATAATTTTATGCTTCAAAAGATACTACCAAGAAAGTGAAAAGACAGTTCTACACAAGGAGAAGGAGTATTTGCAAATCCTACATCTGATAGCGGACTTGTATCTAAAATATATAAAGAACTCATAACTCAAATTAAAAACTAACTCAGTTTAAAAAATGAAATCTGAATAGACATTTCTCCAAAGAAGATATACAAATGGCCAAAAAGCACAGAAAAAGAGACTCAACATCCTTAGCCATCATGGAAATGCAAATCTTTACAAAACTTTACATCTATGGGTGTTAGTTTAGTATCATTGACTAGTATCAAAAAAAAAAAAAAAGAGAAAAATGTGTTGGCAAGAACGTGGGGTAATTTGAACCCTTATACATTGCTGCTGGGAAATGTAAAATGGGACAGGTGCATTGGAAAATAGTTCGTAAGTTCCTCAAAAAACATATGACCTAGCAACTCCATTCCTAGGTATGTATCCAAGAGAAATGAAAACATGTGTCCACATGAATGTCCTTAACAACACTATTCCTAACAGCCAGAAAGTAGAAGTGACCCAAACGTCTATCAGCGGGTGAATGGGTAAGTAAAACGTGATATATGCGTATGATAGGTATTATTTTACGTTTAATCCTGTGAAGGACATGATCAGACTGGTTTCATATAGTAAACAATCTTATGGCTACAGGGGAAAAGGGGGTGGGAAGGGATAAATTTGGTAGTTTGAGATTTGCAAATGTTAGCCACTATATATAGAAATAGACAATAAAAAGTTTCTTCTGTACAGCACAGGGAACTATATTCAATCTATTGTGATAACCTTTAATGAAAGAATATGAAAATGAATATATGTACGTATATGCATGACTGGGACAGTGTGCTGTACACCAGAAATTGACACATTGCAACTGACTGTACTTCAATTAAAAAAAAAGATTTCCTTTACTGTCAATGTGGATAACTTGGGGGGGGGGAGTAGGGATAATACTGAAAATGGAGAAAGGGAAGACACTGGGAGACTGCTGTTATGTTCCAAAGATGCCTGCACTGAGGCAGTAGTAGGTGTGACACGGGAGATGGGACAAATGTAGGAGATATTAACAGTCGAGAATGAATGAGACACAGCAAGCCACGGAGGAGAACAGGGAAAGAGAGGAGTCATAGCAAGCACCTGCTCATGAGGAGGCCGCTCGGGCAGTGTCACCAGAGAGTAAAAGCTCCCAAACTGTACAAATATCAAAAGTTAATGAACTTTCAGAAACTCTCTCCTAGAACAGGCTACACAGCCAGACTCCCTGGATTCAAATCCAGCTTCTTCATTTCCTGTGTTGCCTCAGGCAAGTGATTTACACTTACAGGCCTCCGTTTCCCATCTGTAAAGTGGAGATAATATCACCTATTCGTTGAGCTGTGCGGATTAGACAGTCAGTAAGAGGTGCTAGGACTCCTCGAACACTTGCATGTATCTGGACTATGTATAAATATATGCATCGACGTACTAAGTCCTTACCTTATCAATCTGCAGCAAGCCTATCTCTTTACTATGATTCCTAACCTCTGCATGGCACCCAGTGCTAACTGATGCAGCTTATACCCTGGGAATGCCTGAGAGGCAGCAAGTCTCAAGCTGTGGCGTGGTGGATTTGCCGGCCTACTCACCAGTCAATAGCTAGCAAATATCAATGACTCCATCGTAAAAATAGATACATTCAGGCTTACGATGTGAAGGTTCCAGGCTCAGTACACCCACTCCGTTTCCCTTGCTTAGCAGCCCTCTTCAACATCACGTATGTGTCTACTGCAATGACTGACTGTCTGCCTTTTGCGGAAGCTGTCAATACTCTGCACATGCAGCATCTGGAAGGATTAAGCAGAACACTAGGGAATTAAAAGATACAATTACGTGAAAATTAAACAAAGCATAAATACAGGA